GCTGACGTTTCAGGCCTAGACCCTTCTTCAGAAATGAAGAAGGGTCTAGGCCCGAAACGTCAGCCTTCCTGCTCCTCTGATGCTGCTTGGCCTGCTGTGCTCGTCCAGCTCTACACCTTGTTATCTCTTGTTACAGAGAAGATCAAGTTTCCTCCCTGCTGTTAGAATGTGACCTATATCTCAGAACTACCATTTCTAACACACCTAACCCTAACCCTAACCCAAACCCAAACCCAAAGATGGAGCATGTAATCCCAGCATTTTGTTTTAGACATTGGGAACAAATTTTAATTCTTAATTCTTTGTATAAGGCTTCAGGGAAACTTCAGTTGTACAGAACAGACACCATTTTTATACACCAGCAAGGCAAACAGGCGGCTTACCATTCGATGTGCATCCACGAGGTACGTGTCGTATCCACAGCCTGCCACAAGGTGAGAAGTTTTCACTGTATCAGGAACGAGACACAAAAAGCTGGAACACAAACACACACAAGTTAAATCCTTGCAATGCAACCAGTTCTGAAGACTTGGATCTTTGCTTCTCAGCCTTTCCCATTCACAGTTAGCTGTTGCTAAGTGAGCAGAAATGTTGCCTTGAAGCCAAAAGGTTGTGGGTTCGAGTTTCACTTCAGGCTGACACTCTGTGTGCAACACTGAGGGGGTGCTACACGGTTGGAGGTGCTGTCTGTAGATGAAACATTAAAAACAAGGGCCTACCAACCCTCTCACATTGACATAGAAGATTCTCATTACTTTGAAGAGAACCAGGGGAGTTTTTCTTGGCATCCAAACTGATATTTAGCCTTTAGTCAACCTCACACAGGCAGCTTATCTGCTCATTCTCACATTGCTAATTGTAGGAGTTTGTTTGACATCAATTGACTGCCACATTTTAAACAATACATTGCATTTCAAAACTACTTCATTCGTGGCTGCAAAGTACTTTAAAGTGTCTGGTGTTCATGAAAGATGCTAGTCTTTCCTTTTGGTGTTCTGGGACGAGTCCTATCTGACTATTCCCCATGGTCACACTGCTCTAGTATTGACCCATAGTTTCCAGGATGATATTCTGTACTTTTTCCGACGCAAGTGACCACAGGTATACAATTAAGATTGAACACACAACAGCACAGAGAAACAATTATAAACAATATGCATAGAATAACCAAGGCTGGGGAGTGGATTACAGTCTGGAATCTAATTGAGGAATTTGGGGTGTTTTTATATAGAATAACAGATACCCTGGAGTGAGTTACAGATTGGCATCTAATCGAGGGCATCAGCAGTGGTTTCTATAGAGAACAATAAATACCCTGGAATGAGTTATGCATGAGCATCTACTTGAGGGACGGATGGGCCAATGGGCTGAGGAGTGGCAGATAGAGTTTAGTAAGATAAATGTGAGGTGCTGCATCAGGGCAGAACTTATAAAGTTAATGGTAGGGTCCTGGGGAGTGTTGCCGAACAAAGAGATGTAGGAAGGGTACATGAACAGGAAGGATTTAGGGCCAAACGCTGGCAAATGGGACTAAGCTCAGTTTAGATTATCTGGTTAACACGAATGGGTTGGACCGAAGGTTCTGTTTCCATGCTGTATGACTTGACACTCACATGTTTAGAGCCAGAAGCCGAGATCCAGCCCGCATATTTCGCGAGCTGGAAGATGAGATCTGGCACTCACCTGTTGACTATTCTGTTAACCTCTGGTTTCCCATCAGCCTTTGTTGTCTTTTGCATTGCTGCTGGTGCAACAAGCCAGTCAGATGCAGGGAATCTGCTGCCTGTGTATATGTCAGTGAAGAAAGGATCTTCTTCAAATTCTCTGGAAAAATAAAAGGAATGGAGTTTTACCTCTCTCTGTCTGGCTCAATGGATCATCTTCTATGACGTTATTCCATTCCACCATGAGAGGGTAGGACAGGATGGTGATGATTTTACAGAACTAATAATGCATGGATAATCTTCAAATGTGGCCTCACTAGCTGGGGAAGGAAAGCTGGCCTGTACATGAGTCTAGATGCGTACCAATGTGGATGATCCTCAGTTAACCTCTGAGATGACCCAGTAGTCACATGATTTCTCACCACCACCTCCTCAAGGACAATTAGCAATGGGCAATACCGATATTCCACAATTAAATAAATAAAAATTGCTCAGCCCTGTAAAGAAATCAGCATCTACCCTGAAATGTGATGATTTATGGCACTGTTCTCTGCTAAAATGCAAAATGTAACAACACAGGACAGGCACTGTAACTAAAATCTGCAATCTGACACCTGAATGAACTGATTCGGGGAGTGGCCCCTCACCGCCACCATTTATGGCTGTTGTCCAATACAATCCTAATCCTGGCCCAGGTTGAGGAAATCACATTTTAAAATTGCCTAACTATGTATTAGTATATCACTAATTACACAATGGGAGCTGATTGACAAGAAGAATTGCTCTATTGTTCAGTATACCAAGTATCTTCTGTCCAAGCTTCTAATCTTTATGGGGCCACTTAGGTTTATATGACAAAACCTCGTGGACCGTATGTGAAGTTTATATTCACATTCCTGTTCATTTATCTCACACGCCAAGTATTAGAGTTGATTTCAGCACTAACAACAGCCTTTCCCAAAGCTCCAGCATCTGCAGTTCAAAAAGGGAAAAGCAATGAACAAAAAACAAGAGGACAAACTGAAGTGAGTCACCTAGCTTAGACCCAGAAGTTTTGCCAAGGAAGCAAACTGGTTAAAATCCACCCAAACGTCACACCATCACTGAAGCCACAGTGGAATGTCAAGTCAACTTGAATCCCCTTACTCTGTCTCATCCAGCTGTTCATTCTCTGCAGCTCTTTCCTCGTGTCCAGTATTGGTTCCAATGTAGCAGCGGCCTATCAGGTTCCGTAGCACGAGGTTATAAATTATATGTTCCTGAGGTTTCTGTAAGAGCTGTTCGAAGAATCTCAGTGTGGCTATACTGATCTATGGGAAAGCAGAAAGCAGGCAGCTCACTCACATAGCCGCAAATTCACAATGAATATTACAATATATTTCAAACTATCAAACTGAGATAGGGCCAGATGCAAGACAGTCCAGCTCAGACACTGTATTCAGCATGTATCTCATTGACAGAAGTTTTCAGTTGAACAGCTGACTAATCTTTAATCAAAACTGGATGAGTGTGTGAGGCTAAGTCAGGAAGGCTAAGGGAATGTTGGCCTTAATTTCAAGGGGACTGGAGTATAAGAGTAGGGATTTTTTTTTAATGTATACATTGTGGGATGTCGGCGTCACTGGCTGACCAGCATTTATTGCCCGTCCCTAGTTGCCCTTGAGAAGGTGATAGTGAGCTGCCTTCTTGAACCGCCGCAGTCCACCTGCTATGGGTTGACCCACAATGCCATTAGAGAGGGAATTCCAGGATTTTGACCAAGCGACAGTGAAGGAACAGTAATATATTTCCAAGTTGGGATGGTGAGTAGCTTGGAAGGGAACTTGAAGGCGATGGTGTTCCTATATACCTGCTGCCCTTGTCCTTCGAGATGCAAGTAGTCATGGGTTTGGAAGGTGCTGTCTGAGGATCTTTGATGAATTTATTTCGGTAACTGTAAAAGGTGCTTGAGACCAAATCTGGAATATTGAGAGCAGTTTTGGTCCCCTTATTTGAGGAAAAATACTTCATTGGAGACAGTTCATGGAAAATCCACAAGGATGATGCCCAGTTTGGAGGGATTGTTTTATGAGCAAAGGTTAAATAGGTTGAGACTCTACTCACTGGGGTTCAGAAGAATGAGATACATATAGGATTCTTAAGGAGCTTGACAGGGTAAATGCTAAGAGGATTGGTTCCTCTCATGGGAGAGTCTAGGACCAGAGGGTCTCAGAATAAAGATTGAGATGAGGAAGAATTTCTTCCCTCAGAGGCTTGAGTGTCTTTGGAACTCCTTGCAACAGAGTGCTGTGGGGACAGAGTCCTTGAGTATTTTTAAGGCTGCGATAGTTTCTTGATCAGAAGGGGAATCAAGGGTTACAGCAAAAACGGAGTAAAGTGGATGTGAGAAATGACAAATCAACCAAAATAAGGGATTGCCAATTTAAAACTGAGACGAGGAGGAATTTCTTTTCTCTGAGGGTTGTAAATTTATGGAGCTTCTTGTCAGAGAGAGCTGTGGGACAGAGTTGTTGTATATCTTTACGGCGAGATAGATTTAAAGCTAGATAGATTCTTAATCAGTAGAGAATCAAGGGTTTTGGGGAAAAGGCAGGAAAGTGGCCATAGGAATGTTGGATCAGCCATGAACTGATTTTATGACATACTCCTGTTCCTTTGTTTTTAATGGTCTAAACCACTCCATGCCGACCTCAGTGCACTGACCTGTGACATCTATCCATTGGCTAAATGACCACCCCCACCCAAGTGAGCTGCAATCTCACCTCATCGGATAGATGGTTGCAGCGTTCGATCAGCAGGGAACGCAGCTTGTGGCAGGCTGGTTGTGTGGGCATCTCTGCCTCTCTCTGATCTCCCAGCAAAAAGAAAACAAGTTCATCCAGCAACCGGGGCGATGTGGTATGAGTCACGATCCCCATAAGCAGTGCAGTGGACAAGAGAATCCCCATCTCAGACCTGTGGAGGACAGAGAAGGCCATGCAATAGTCGAATAATTACACCAGGGCTGCAATAAAGACCTATCCATGCAGCACTTTCTACTGAAGAGGGACAAGTTCAGCTCTTCAGCAAATTTTCAGCATAACATTCGGCATACCAAGCCTTAGAACTGAATAATCCCATGGGTTTCCATGGTTCAGAAATGAACTAGACCAGCCACGTAAACAATGTAGCCACAAGAGCAGGACAGAGGCTAGGAATTTTGTGGTGAGGAACTCACCTCCTGATTCCCTAAACCCTGTCCACCACTGACAATGCATAAATCAGGAGTGTGATGGAATACTCTCCATTTGCCTGCATGAGTGCAGTTCAAACCACACTCAACAGGGTCAACACAATCCAGGACAAAACAATTCATTTGAATGGCATCCAATCCACCATATTCAACATTCACATCCGCCACCACTGATGCACAGAGTTAGCAGTATGTATCATCCACACGATGTACTGCAGGAATTCACCAAGGCTCCTCTGACAGCATCTTCTTGAAGCCACCCACCATGCTAACTTGGAAATATATCAGCTATTTCTTCATTGGTGCTGGGTAAAAATCCTGGAACTCTCTCCCAAAAAGCAGTGTTGGTGTACCCACACCGCATGGACTGCAGCAGCTCGAGAAAGCCATTTATCACCATTTTATCAAGGGCAACAGGATCCACTGTCAGTGACTTTGTTGACATAAGGTGTGATTGGAATTGGTAGATCAGTTTTTTCAAATGGTCACATTATGTGGATGGAGAGAGTGAAACAACTCAGATGGGTTTGCTCATGGGAATTTTGTGGGGAACAAAAGGGAGTTCCAAAGTCACATCTGATAAAGGGAGCACCTTTTGCTGGTTATGCCTTTTTTACCCTACAATTTTAGAGGAGTGGGAACTTAGTTACAGTTAACTTTTTCATAACCTTAGTGACAGAGTAGGAAATCCAACAAAATAAGTCTAATAATTCTAGTCTAAGGCATTAATTGTAAGTTTAAGTGATGTCAGGAGAGGCCAGCTGAGCGGAATGTGCAACTTGTCCTATGTGGGGAGTCCTGATGTTGCCAGTGTCCTTGATGACGACATGTGCAGGAAGTGCTCCCAGCTGCAAAAGCTGGAGCTCAGGGTCTCAGAGCTTGAGCAATGGTTGGAGACACTGTGGCGAATCCCCGATGCTGAGAATTAAACGGATAGCATGTTCATAGAGGTGGTCACAATGCAGATCAAGGATCTAGAGGAAAGAGGGGAATGGGTGACCACTAGACAGTCCAGAAAGAACAGGCAGGTACTGCAGGAGTCCCCTGGAGTCCCACTCATGAACCAGTGTTCCAGTCTGGAAGCCGGTAAAGGTACTGGTACCTTGGACGAGTACAGTCAGAGCCAAGCTTCTGGCACCACAAGCCGCTTCACTGTACAGGGAGGGGAGGAAGAAGAAAGGAAGAGCAACAGTGATAGGGGATTCTTTAGCCGGGGAGCAGACAGGCATTTCTGCGGTCAAAGACGTGACTCCAGGATGGTGTGTTGCCTCCCTGGTGCCAGAGTCAGGAATGTCAGTGAACAGCTGCAGGGCATCCTGAAAGAGGAGGGTGATGAGTTAGTGATCATGGTACATGGTAGCACCGATGATATCGGCAAAGTGAGGAATGAGGTCTTGCATCAAGAATTCAGGCAGCTAGGCAATAGATTAAAAAGCAGGACCTCAATGGTTGTAATCTCTGGATTACTCCCAGTGCCACAAGTTTAGAAATAGGAAAATAGGAGAGATGAATGTGTGGCTCAGGAATTATGCAAAAGGGAGGGTTTTAGATTCCTGGATCACTGGGATCATTTTTGGGAAAGTTGGGACATGTACAAACCAGATGGTCTGCATCTGAACTACATTGGGACCAAAATCCAAATAGAGAGGTTTGCTAGGATGACTTGGAGGAGTTTAAACACGTCTGGCAGGGAGAGTGGAGACAATGAAACAGAAACATATCGTGCTACAGCAAAGGAAGCAAGTCACAGCAAGTTCATCTACCTGGAGTGTCAAGAGAGTAAGGCAAGGATAGATGGTCTTCATTTTCATGCTAGGAGTGTAATAGGTAACATTGATGAGTTAATGGCGTGGAATGACACATGGAAGTATGATATTGTTGCCATCACAGAAACATGGTTGAGGGAAGGGATGGACTGGTAACTCAACATTCCAGGGTAAATGATCTTTATGCGACACAGAGGAGGGTGTAAAAAGGGTGGCGGTGCAGCACTATTAATTAAGGAGTCAATTATTGCAATAAGGAGAGATGATATCTTGGAAGAGTCCACAAACAAGGCTATGTGGGTAGAACTAAGTAATGTTAATGGGGCAGCATAGATCTCCAAAGAGTCAGCAGGAAATACAGGAGCAAATATGTAGGCAGTTCACAGAGGTGTGAGAGAGTAATAATCAGGTAATATACTAAGGGATTTCAACTTTCCCAATACAAATCGGGATAGTCATAATAATAGGGGTTTGGAGGGGTTGGATTTCTTGAAAGGTCTCCAGGACAGCTTTTTGTTTCAATATGTAGAAGGCCCAACAAGGGATAGTGCAGAGTATTCGAGGTGATAGTGGGGGAACATTTAGGCAATAGCGACCACAATGCAGTACAGTTCAGATTTGTTCTGGACAAGGAAGAAGATGGCCTGCAAAAAATAACTTTGGATTGGGGAAGGTAGATTTTATTAAAATAAAGCAGGATCTGGTCACAGGTGACTGGGAACAGCTGCTTGCGGGGAGGTCTAAAGCAGAGCAATGGAAGCATTCAAAAAGGAGCTAGGGAGAGTACGGGTCCAACACGTACCCTAGTATAGGAATAATAAGTTCAGAAAATTCTGGATGTCTCGGACAATTCAGGACTGGATAAAGAAGAAGAGTAGGGCTTTTAGCAAGTCCAAAGGGAGCAATTCAGCTGCAGCCCTAGAGAAATATAGGAAGTGCAGGAGGGAATTTAAGAAAGCAATTAGAAGAGCAAAAATGGCACGACAAAGGACTTGCAAACAGGATTAGTGAGAATCCTAAGATATTTCATAATGACATTGAGGGGAAAAGGCTAACCAGGGAAACAGTAGGGACCAAGGGGGCATCCTGTGTGTGAAGCGCAGGATGCTGGAAGGGTGTTGAATGAATACTTCTCTTCAGTCTTAACTCTGGAAAAGGAGAACGTAGGTATAGAATTCAGGAAAAGGGACTGTGAGGAACCTGCACAGTTTGATATAGGAAATGGGAAGGTATTGGAGGCTCTGTCGGGCTTAAAAACAGACAGATCCCCTGGTCTGGATGAATTGTATCCCAGGCTGCTGGGAGGCAAGGCAAGAAATTGCAGGGGCTCTGACACAATTTTTTTTAATCCCTCTCTGGCCACAGGGGAAGTCCCAGAGGCCTGGAGGACAGCTAACGTGGCTCTATTTTTTAAAAAGGGGTGGTAGAGGTGAACCAGGAAATTACAGACTGGTGAGTCTCCCGTCAGTGGTAGGGAAACTATTGGAGAAAATTCTGGAGGAAGGAATTAATACCCACTTGGAAGTGCGTGGGTTAATTAAGGATAGTCAGCAATAGCTTTGTCAGAGGGAGGTCACACTAACAAATTTGTTAGAATTTTTTGAAAACATGATCAAGTGTGTGGCTGAGGGAAGTTCAGTTGATGTAGTTTATCTGGATTTTAGCATGGCTTTTGACAAGGTCCCACATAAGAGACTGATTGAGAGCGTTGAAGCACATGGAATTGAGGGAAACTTGGCGTGATGGATCAGAAACTGGCTTATTAATAGGGCACAAAGGGTAGTGGTAGAAGACTGTTTGAATGACTGGAGGTTGATGTCCAGCAGTGTACTACAACGATCAGTACTTGGACCCTTATTGTTTGTTATATACATAATGATATAGATGAAAATGTGGGGGCAATGTTAAGCAAATTTGCAAATGACACCAAGATTGGCAGAGTGGTTAATAGCAAAAAGGATGGCTGTAGGTTACAGGAAGATATAGATGGGTTGGTTAGATGGACACACCAATGGCAAATGGTATTTAACCCTAAGAAGTGTGAGATGATGCACTTTGGAAGAAAAACAAGGTGAGGGAGTATTTAATGAACAACAGGACACTGGATAGCTGAGAGGAACAGAGGGATCTTGGGGTAATTATTCACAGATCCCTGAAGTCAGCAGAGCACTTGAATAGGATAGTTAAGAAGGCCTATGTGACACTTGCTTTCATCAATCATGGTATAGAGAATAAGAGCAAGGAGGTATTGTTGGAGTTGTACAGAGTGTTGGTCAGGCCACAATTGGAGTACTGTGTGCAGTTCTGGTCACCTTGCTACAGGAAGGATATATTAGCAGTAGAGAGGGTACTGAGGAAATCCACCAGGATGTTGCCTGGGATGGAGAAATTGAGCTATAAGGACAGAGTAGAAAGGCTTGGATTATTTCCTTTAGGGCAGAGAAGACTGAAGAGGACATGATTGAGGTGTGTAGAATTATGAGGGATATGGACAGGGCGAATAGAGAGCAGCTGTTCCCCTTGGTTGAGGGGTCAATCACGACAGGGCAGTGTTTTACGGTAAGGGGCAGGAGATTCAGTGGGAATTTGAGGAAAACCTTTTTCACTCAGCGGATGGTGGGAATATGGAATGCACTGCCTGGAAAGGTAGTGGAGGCTGGAAACATTACAACCTTTAAAAAATATCTGGATGAGTACTTCAAATATCATAACATTCAAGGATATGGGATAAGTGCAGGAAATTGGAAACAGCACACTTTTAATGGGAGTTATGTCGGTGCAGATTCGATCGGCTGAAGGGCCGTTTCTGTGCTGTATGAATCTATGACCAACTACAGGTTCTCACAGCAGATGGAAATGCTTAGTTTCATGGCTCACATTTTTCAAGAAGAGAGTAACAACTACTTACACCTGCAATAGTTGTGGCTCCAAGACTGTGACAAAGAAACGTTTCCTGATTTCCTGGGCCACAGCAGCAGCAGTTACCTGGGGCATGGAAGAGGAAATGGAAGTGTGACTCATTGACCCTGGACACAGGCAGAGGCTAGCACTGACTACATCACAGTACAGGGCCTGTCAGCCAGGGAGGCTTGCTCATAAATTGATGGATGACAGGGTTGTTTGTGAATCACCAAGCTCACAGTCAGAATTTCTGCAACACTGAATCGTTGACAGGAGGCCTAATCTTATCCTGAAAGGTGAGACCAGTTCACTTTGTGTCATTCTCCCTATAATCATGCACCTTCTTCCTTTTCAGGTAACAGTCTCATATATTGAATGCTTTGATTGAATATGCCTCAAAGGCAGTGTGTTCTAGTCCTTTACCACTTGCTGTGTGAAAATATTTTTCTTCATGTTGTTTTTGCTTCTTTTACGAATCATTTTCAACCTCTGCCCTGTCATTCTTGAGCCCTTCACAGATAGTTTTCCCCTCTTTCCTATGACCAGATCCCTAATCATTTTGAATAGCCATGTCAAATGTCCTCTCAGCTTTCTTTTCTCCAAGGAAAACTGCCCTAACTTCTCTAGTCTAACTTCTAACTGAAGTTTATCATTCCTGGAACTAACTCCAGATCTTACAGTGGGTAAATTATTCATTTTCACCAATTTTCAAAATGACTGTAGAGGTGATGTACCTCAACACATTTTTGGAAATCAGAATTATTTCAAACGAGAAGGCAGATTCTTTCTGACATTATTGGCAGACCGTTCTCTCCATTAAACTGTGTTGTCATGAATGCATCATCTGACTCTCCGTAATTGTTGAAAGCAGGTTGCTGATGCACTGTCAGCTCTTTTCCTACAGCATTAAACCCCAATCCAAATACAACCTCAACTCCTTTACCTTGCTGTAATCCCATTCGAGATAACTAGTTCACAAAACCCGACTGGAGACAGTGGCCTTCTGACTAACATAACTATTTAAAATATTAATATTTGCTTGGAGCTGGGATACCATCTGTTAACATATTCTCCCTCCTTGTTAGTGAGTGTCTGGCTCCTGCTCAACTGCCCGCAGTGCTGGGAGAGATCCATCAGTCATTGCTGTGATCTGCGGTGTTAGGCTTAGTGAACTAGCGTGTGTGGGTTATGGATCAGTGTCCCTAAGCACAATATTCACTTCTTCTTGTGAACATAAAAGCTGAATATGCCTCCTTCCAGTCATACATCTGCTAAGAGCAGCCTACCTCATGGGCTTCCTTCACCAGTTGATTACAGTAGTCCAGCCACGAGAAGAAAAACGTCACAGCTCCTTTGCCTGGAAATGACTCTGCATCTTCTACATTACTGGCAGCATAATGTGACCTGCACGTGCAGAGCAAACCACAGCCTAGCATCAGGACATCTGAAAGAACCCTTGTCAAGAGTAGGCTTATGATAGAACCAAAGAAACATCTGTCACAGGAGCAGCCCATTCAGGTTGCAATGCCTGTGCTACCTCTTTGAAAGAGCAGTCCAGTCTAGTCCCAAATCCCATATTTTGTCCTACCCCCATCAATGAATAACTGAACTTCAGGAGTAATTCAGTGTAATTCTTTGAGCAATTTCAATCAGAAGCTAAGCAAGTATGACTGTTTCTGCTTGATTTCCCCATTTTGTGAACTGGAATAGTTTTGCATACCGCCAGTTAACTCTTCCCAGCAATTCAACTTGTCCAGGGTCAACAGTGTCCGGTATCTGCCTGTAAAGGTCTGACAGCTTGTCTGCCAGTGTCTGACGCAGCATTGTGCTTTCCACCATGTACCGTGCTGTCCCCTCCTCTGGTAATGTGGCCAACAGGAGCAAGCCTTCACAGGCCTTCAATGCAAATTGATTTTTCTAAACACAGAGAAAGTAAATGGAATTAAATTCTATGATATATTTAAAATGTTGCATCTGTAATCTTGCACCATTATAAAGCCATCTCCCTAGCAAACTTTCCATAACAATGTCACGCTATCATTACATCCTTTTCACCAGTGCCGGCAGATCAAAAACACATTTACCAAGATAGTTTCCAGCACAAAAATGGAATGTTTATCAGAAATATAAAAATAACCACAGAATGTAGCAGCCAAAATTTGCTTCAAAGTTGCCTTATTAGCAAAGCTGTATCCACAGTGGTGTGTGTACCTCAGGCTATTACTTGTGCCCACAAAAGAACCTCCTGATTGGTACTGGACCTTGGTTAGATCACACTTACTGTGCACAACCCTTGTCTCCATCCTTCTAAAAAGGGTAGAGGGGCACTGGAGAAAGTCCTAAAAGGATTGACTAGAATGATACCGGTGCAGAGAGATTACAGCTATCAGGATTTACTGAAGAGACTGCGGCTGTTCCCACTAGAGAAAAGACTACATTAAAAATAAATATGGAATTTTTGAAAAGACCTGTTAAAGATCTTGAAAGAAAATGTTTCCGCTTGGAGAGTCCAAACTATGGACATTGTTGGTAACTTGGGGATCAGAATTCTCCAACGATTTTGTCCCAGTTAATCAGCAGAAACAAAAGGTAGTTTTCATGCAACTTTTAAAATCAGTTCTCAGTACACTGATAGGAGTGTGAATGAGGTTATTATTTTGAAAATGGCATTTGCAGAAATTCTTGCAGAAAACAACCAAAATGAATTGTCTCTCTGTCTAACTCTCCCGATCTTGTGATCCCCAAACCCCCAGTCCCCACGTTCAATCTCTTGCTTCCACAATATCCCTGTCTGCTGTATGCAACAATGTTGTAGAGTACCTCACTTGCAGTCAGGGTCAGTAGGGCATTAATCAGGCTCTTGTCAGGCTGACCATCTTTCCCATCAGGAGTGAAAGGTATGCTTGTCACAGGAGACTGGTCAGCGTGTGATGGGCTAATCCCTGTGGCCAAGCTGGACAGTGGCGTTCCTGTCCTGACAGCATCCTTTGGCTGACCTTCGCCCTTCTCAAAGGAGCAGGGTAACAATTTTCTGGAATCAGCAGAATTCTTTTTCTGAAAATGTAGAGATCATTTAAGAAAAAAAAAGGAAGGAAGACTTGCAATTCAATATTTCACTTCACGACCACAAGATGTCCCAAACTGCTTAAATCCAGGAAAGGCCTTTTGAAATCACTGTTACAATGCAGAAAAGACAGCAGCTCAAATGTGCACAGCAAACTCACAGAAGCAGCAGTACAAAAATCATCTGGTAATCTCTGTGATGTTGTAATGTTGACTGAGGGCCTGGACTCTGAGGAGAACTCCCCTGCTCTTCCTCAGAACAGTATTAGAAGAGTTTTTGCAACCTCTTGAGGTTACACACAGTTTAACATCATATACAAAAGATGGAGTGGGAACGTATATTTGCACTGGCTGTGAACCCAAATGTCCTGCACTCTTTGTAGGATCAAAATCCAAAATAATTCAACAGCTGAATTGCGATATGTTGTGGAAGGTATCAATCTGCCCACTGCATGAGTAACAAGAGGACAGATGATTGAGGGAGAATTTTGAATGAACTGATGTCCCTCAGTATTACTGCACTCTTATGAAAGGCAGCACAGTTATGGACTAAAGGTAAAGTGTACTTTTGCACTACATCAGACTCACTGCTAAAGCCACCAACCAAAGGCATCCAATGCTGCTAACCCATCAAATCTGTGGCTCCAACTGCCTTAAAGTTACATTCAGTTCAGACATTCAGTGACAGGCCACTGTGATTTGGTGTCTAGAACCTGTACCTACCTCAATGAAGAAGTTGATCAGGTAGGGATCTTGGCTGAGTTTTGCACACACCGTGGTAAGAAACTGCACTTCCTCCTTTTCCATTTTGGATCCAAGGCCCTCGCCACACAAATGAATTAACTTCTAACAGCACAACAGAAACAACACAGGCACTGTCAGCCTTGGGTGCTGCACAAGTGTCAAGAAGTATCCACTATTTAAAACTGCACTCAGTCATCTTTATAGACAGAACCAATCCAAGCTTCACAACATGAATAGTGAGCATTGTGAACATGCTTCACAAACTACCCCAAGTTTGTTTGTTCTTGCTGTTGGGGGATTGGTGCAGAGCACTTCCTGCATTCCCTCTTTGTATTCCAACACTTGCAGGATTGTCCTTTGGGGCAACGTGGTGCCTCACAGCATCAGGGACCCAGGGCGACTGTTTATGTAGAGTTTGCACATTCTCCCCGTGTCTGCACAGGTTTCCTCTGGGTGCTCCAGTTTGCTCTCACAGTCCAAAGATGTGCAGGTTTGGTGGATTAGCCATGAGAAATGCAGGGCTATAGGGACAGGGTAAAGGGGTGGATCTAGGAGAGTTGCTCTTCGAAGGGTCGGTGTGGACTCGATAGTCTACTTCCACACTGCAGGGATTCTATGAGTAGACACAAGCTTCCCTGCTGGCTGGAAACACCATGTGGTATTCTAAGCCATACAGGGCTGGGCAGGCTAACTCTCTGCATTGAATTGGCTGATCACAGGGGTTCTAATTAAATATGAAAGATGGGGCTTGAAGTAAGAGCAGGCTTGAAGCCTTGCACAGCAAGAGGACAGGCAACTGCACAACGTTTGCAGGGTGAGCAGGCAGGGAAAAGGGAGGAAACACAAAAGAGAAGGGTGGCAGCAGACCCGGCAAGCAATGTACCTACCTGCACAGGACGGTGCACATTGATGTGAGGGAGCAATGGCTGCTGAATCTGCCCCAACAATTTGGTGAGGAGGAGCAGAACTTGTTGTTTCATGCCAGGGGGATACTGCAGAAACACACACAGTCAGACAAGTCATTCATCATTAGAGCACAGCTTGGGCTTTCTCAATGGTTCATGTAAGCCCTCCCCATCCCCAAAAACCTGCTTTCCTTACCCCAGCCTTGGCCAGTGTGCAGAGAGTCTCCAATATCTTGTGCTGTAAAAGATACTCCATACACGGCCCCGTCTCGCCTCTTTCCATCTGCTTCTCCTCATAAACGAGAATGTCCACCATCTGCCTCAGGCGCCAGGGGATGTCCGTCTGTTTTACAGGCAGTGTTTCATCTGTAAAGCACAATGGCCAAACTACATTTCCATCAGGCCAAGATCCTGTGGAAGAGTCCAGGATAGCGGAGACCAGTCCCTTAATTTTCCCAATCAAACCCATCCCTCCGGTCCCGTTACTCGGTGTTAAAACCCAATTAGTTTGTTTGGTTGTGATCTCTGGGCCACTTTGGCAGTCAGAATGAGGTAAAATGAGATTTGGTAAGTCCCACCAGGACTTGTTTGTCAAGGAAGATTGGGCCATAACGTGGCCAAATCTGCCAAGCCTTCCAACACATATAAACAGCAGGCTGTAAGGGTAGGAGAGATTCCTCGTCAGCCATGTGTTGGAAGGAAAACTGGAGCCTCTCCCATCACTATCCATAACTACAAGAGCCACCTTTGGCAATCACTCGCTGATGATAATGATTGTCCATCTCGGAAATTCTGTGTCACTGGTCATGGGTTCTGTGGGCCCTTGTGTGGCTGTTGAGCCCAATCCTAGAGCCACATCACTGACCACACATTTGGTGGATGTTTCTGGGACATGGAATTGGTCCTTGGACTTCAGACTGTTGACAGTCCTTTCACCAGTTCCTTTTCTGTACTTCCTCTTGCTGGTGGGTGTTCGCAAAGAACTGTGTCCCTTCATACAGGAGTTTCCTCTGAGTCAGAATCTTCTGAACTAGCATTAACTCTGATATCTCTCCACAGATGCTGCCAGACCTGCTGAGCTTTTCCAGTAATTTCCATTTATTCCTTCTGGACCAGAGTCTCTCATATGTTGACACCTATGTTGCATTTCTTGGGGGTGGTCTTTCAAATGTTTCCTTTGTCATCCTCTCATTCAAGTACCTTCCTTGAGCCAGGCAGAAATTTGCTTTGGTACTTGGAACTCAGGCAAACTGTACACATGGCCAGCCCAGTGGAGTTGATTTCGGATGACCATGACCTTGCTGTTGGTGCTGTTTATTTCAAGGATGCTGGTGCTAGGATGCCTGTCTTCCCAGCCAACGTGGAGAATCTGTTTCATACAGCATTGATGTAACGTCTATATGTAGTCCAAGTTTTGGAGCCATATAGAAGAGTCGGAAGGATGACTGACTTAAACACAAGGATCTTAATATCAGCATGGATGTCATGGAAGTCAAAGACTCTCATCCTTAGGTGTCCAAAGTCAGCACTCACGTTGCATCCAATGTTGAATCTCCACATCGATGTCGGACTTAAATAAGAGGTAGATCCCCGGTAACTGTTCCATGTTTGGGAAGATTTCTTCATTGATCTTAATAGAGGAATGGACCTAACCGTGATCTTGGATGGGTTGGTAAAGGATTTGATCTTCCTGAGGTAGTGGTCTGCTTCCATGAAGGCATTAAACAAGACTTGAAGATTCTCTTCTGAGACAGCAGAGATGACATTGTCACCCACATAATGAAGTTCCACAAGCGAGGTCGGTGGCAATTTCTTCTTGGATTTCTGTTGTTTGAGGTTGAAAAGGCTTCACTGTGTCCTGGAGTGAATATCCACACCATTGCGAAGCTTGTATTTGACAAGATGAAGGTGAAAAAAAGGGAGGGGGTGATGAGATATCCCTGCTTGACCTCAAAGGATTCCATCATATTACTGTCAGTGAGTACCATCGCCGACATTTTGTCATGGAGAAGACAAGAGAATATTGATGAATTTCACTGGACAGGTGGCCTTTGATAGGGTATTTCCTAGCAATTCCTGATTTATTGAGTCAAAAGCCTTGGTCAGATCGACGAGACGATGTCAAGTGGTTGGTGTTGTTAGAATCCTTGCTGATTTTCCATGATTTTTATGATATTCTTTTATCAATTTTAAATTGTGAGCTGGCAATGACTTTGGGACAGCTTGGGGTAAAAGGAAAATAATGGACCTAACAAGCTTAGAGATAGTAGGAACTGCAGATGCTGGAAAATCCGAGACAACAAGGTGCAGAGCTGGATGAACACAGCAAGCCAAGCCGCATCATAGGAGCGGAAAGGGTTTTCTGATGAAGGGTCTAGGCCCGAAACGTCAGCCTTTCTGCTCCTATGATGCTGCTTGGCCTGCTGTGTTCATCCAGCTCTGCACCTTGTTGACCTAACAAGCTTAGTTTGTTTGTGAGGCCAGGAATGGAGGCTGATTGCAGGCTGAGCCTTGATGAAAAAGATTTTAACAGACACAACAAAGAATACTGTCTTTAAACAGAAAGTCGGCTGTTTAATGGGGTCAGTGTTTGGGAACTGGTTCTGGCAAATCTGGAAGAGATCAGATGTACACGCAAATGGCAGTTGTTGAATGGTAATTGAGGACTTGGGAGGAGTCAATCAGTCCATCAGGGCAAAATCAGAATTAAGGTTGTTTTTTTTAAACTCGTTTTCTTGGCAAGTTTCATAGATAGATTCATACAGTATAGAAAAGGCCCTTTGGCCCATCAAGTCTGCACTGACACTGCAAATGGAGAGTCAGGAGGCGACTGTTGATGCCTAGAGAGAGCCCTGAGAGTCAAGTGATGATTTCATTCCTGATATGGAAGCATTCATGCTTCCTGGGTGGATGTTCGGGCTTCCCTCTCCAGAAAAAAGTGTGACCACCATCTTCTTCCCTTACCTATGCCTGCTCTTCGAGTCTCCTGCAGGGCAGTGATATCAAAGTTAAAGTGCCTACATTCGAGGGCAGATTTTCATTCTGGACAATTGTTTTGCTCATGGTCCGTGAAGGTTCTTACATTCCAGTTTCCGAGATTGAGTTGACTTTGGTTTTCAGACTGTAGGTAGATGAGTCCACTGGTTACAGTTTTCTAGCCAGGTTGGTGACAGAAGAGACTATTGTTAGGGCACCTTTTCTAGCCCCTTCCCCATGTGGGACGAGCAGAGTGGATTCTGAAGAGAGCTGCCAAAGTGCTGTCCTATTCCCATTCCAAGGGCAAAATGACTGAGTCAGATTCCACCATCTTTGTGCCAATGAGAAGCTAGGGACTAGCTGATCTCACACTCGTGTCCTCATCTACCACTTGCCGATCTTTGCAGAGTTCTTGTTGTGTTGGGGGCAGAATTGAACTTCTCAAGGTAGTCACCTTGTGCAGGACATCTTTTAACATGGGACTGCATTTGCACATCAGCAAACACATGGTCCTTGACAATAGAGGGATCCAGGAAACCTTGATGACTGGGGAGCTCCCTGCATCTGCTGTAGTCTTCATCCATCATCACAGCCTTCAACATCACACACATATCTTCTGCCTGAAACTCTGTTTTGGACTTGTTTCAGATCATGCTTTCTCTGGTTCCTCTCTCTGACATTGCCATCTTGGGTGGCCCAGCTAGGAGTTGCGAACTCCTGACTGCATCACTCTCAGGATCAATGGAACACTGAAGCCTCTCCATCATAGCAAAGTGGCAATCCTTAAACTCTGTTTTCTTGGCAAGTTTCATAGATAGATTCACATATTATAGAAAAGGCCCTTTGGCCCATCAAGTCTGCACCGACACTGAAAATGGAGAATCAGGAGGTGACCGTTGATGCCAAGAGAAAGCCCTGAGAGTCAAGTGATGATTGCATTCCTGATAGCACCTTCTTGGGTGGATGTTCGGTAACACTTCAGAGTAGACCAGGCATGTAAAAGTTGGACGCTACTACAGTAACTTGAACTCTTTCACCATAAGGTAAAACTAATAATTCACATCCTGCGAGTGAGGGAGTGAAGGGACAGTAGACAGGAACTGCATACAACTAACACCTTTCCCAGACATAACTGCAGCTGTCAATCTAAGGCGCACATATACAGAGTAATCAACACACAGGCATCGTGCAACGTAAGAGTTGACTGGGTGAATTTATATTGTCAATATTTCACTGTATTGGAATTTAAAGTGGTCTCCTGCTTTGTGTAACAGTGGTCCAGACAACATACATTCTACTTCACTTTTGTAAACTAACATTTAGCTGTAGTACCTAGCTGGCATTTAAACTGCAATGTGCAGCCGGACATACCTGTCGTTACAATGTAATAGTTGGTGATTCCTTTCCAGTGGCTTACGAAGGAGTCGAGAAGCTGAATGGGCTCTTCCTCCTTTAACAGAAGAATATAATAAAACAGTCCCCTTATCGCAGCAAAATTATTTCAACAAATAATGAATTATGTTACTGAGCGGTTCATTGCATGAGAAAACAATGCAAATAATTCAGTGGTGCCCGAGTGGACAACTTTCACGAGGAATGTACCCAGGATGGATTTCCCAAGGGGAAGTTCAGTGGGAGCAGGAGTGCAGTGACACTGGAAGATCAACTTCACTTCTCTCTCACCCAGGAGCCTTGATTGAAAACCTGTCATGGTCCAGTCGGAGAGAGAGAGAGGGAGAGAGCTCACGTTCCAGTAGCTCAATACTTAAGGCAGGGAAGAAATTGGGGCTGCACTGGTCAGGAAGATCCCAGACTGGAGGCTGAGTTTTAGTCCTACCCTGGGTCTGTCTGAGGAGGGAATGTAGGCTTGAGGGCACTGTCAACCACTGAACGGGTACTTACTGACCCCACAGCCATGGGAAATAAAACCCAGAGCCCCCAAGACAACACAGCCCCACACTCACTCCACCACCCCAAAAACACTTTACCCCCCAAGACAGCACTTTAGATATTTTCCTCATCAACTACACACCTCTAGAGGAAGGTGGGATTTGAACCCGGATCTCCTGGCTGAGAGATAGGCATACTGCCTCTTCACTATTACGGCTCTCAGTTCAGCCCCCGACAGCTCTACCCTCACCCCTGAAACTGCACTCCTCCCTCCGATTTCTCTGCCCCATCCCTTTGGAGCTGCGGCCGGATTGAGGCCTCGGCTCTCAGGCTGAGCCCGGGGCCTGCCGCTCGCTCTCTCACCGTGTCCACAGCCTGCTGTAGCAGGGCCGTCAGTTTACTGAACATCTCTCCGTCCGGCCGGCCGGGCTCCGGGCCCGGTTACCTCTGCCACTCACTCACTCCTTCCTTCCCCGGCCCGGTCTGTCCTGTGCCGGACTCCAGGCTCCGGCTCTCTCCCGCAGTCACCCCTGACCCCGGAGCCACAGGAGGAGGAGAAGGCCCGGGGCCAAGAGGAGGGAGGGACAGTGTTTGTGTGAGAGGGTCGGGTGGAGCTTGTTGGTGAGTGTGTGTGGGGGATAATTGGGTGTTTGGGTCTGGGGGTAAGTGGGGTGCTGGAAGTATGTGGATGGGAGGGACTCTGTGTTTGTGTCTGCAGGGGTAGGAGTAGGGCAGTAGGCTCTAGGATTTGGGGGGGGGGGGGGGGGGGGGG